AGGTCTTTCAATGCGTGTTGGCATTCGGGGGTCCATTTGAAGCCGTACTTCTTTTTGAGAAGTGAGAAGAAGTGATGGCATTTGTTTGAGGATCTTGTGATGAACCTGCTTAAGGTCGCCAACCTGCCGGTTAGCCTTTGCACCTTCTTCACGCTTGTTAGCTGGTCTGGGATATCTTTGATAGCTTTCATTTTATTGAGGTTTACCTCAATCCCTCTTTGCAAGACCAGGAACCCTAAGAACTTACAGGAGCTTACTCTATATGCACATGTTTTCGGGTTGAGTTTCATGTTATGTTTCCTTAGGATAACGAAAGTCTCTTGGAGGTGTTTCAGATGATCTCCTACATTCAAAGACTTGACTAACATGCCATCAATGTATACCTCCATCATCTTGCATATTTTATTTTCCAACATTTTGTTAACGAGCCTCTAGTAAATGGCTTCAGCGTTCTTAAGCTCAAATGGTATCACATTATTACAATATGTGCCAAAGTTCATTATGAAAGAAGTTTTTTCCTGATCCTCCGGGTTCATCTTGATTTGGTTATACACGGAGTAAGCATCAAGGAAACTCATTAACTCTTGCCCGGCCGTAGCATCAATCATTTGATCAATGTTTGGCAGTGGGAACGAGTCTTTAGGGCATGCTTTATTTAAATCCTTATAATCTACAAACATTCTAAACATGTTAGTTTTCTTTGGAACTACAACTACATTGGCTAAACATTTTGGATATTTTACCTCCCTATGGAATCGATATTAAGCAATCCGGTTACCTCTTCTTTAACAAACTTGTTTCTGACCTCGACAATCAGACGCTTCTTCTGCCTTACCGATGGGTAGTTTGGGTCCAGGCTTAGCTTGTATACATCTACTTTTAATGGGATACATGTCATATCCGAGTGCGACCATGCAAATCAATCTGCATTAGCTTTAAGAAAATTTATAGGTCCTAACTTGAGCTCGGGATTGAGTCGTGTTCACAAGTGAAACTTCCTCTCCAAGAACTCTTTGATTAAATCCACTTGCTCGAGTTCTTTTGCGGTTGACTTGGTCACACTCCTCGCCTTTATCATCTTCGTTCGGCAAGGGAGAAGGTATCAGTTCCTATAATTGCTATTTATTAGACTCCTTCCCCTTGCTGGAAATTGTCAATGCATTCATCTCCCTTGTTGTTGGTTGATCTCCTCTTATCTTCTTGATTCCTTCTGGGATTGGAAATTTCAATAGTTGATGATATGTTGAGGTCACAACCTTCATTTTGTGTATCCACAACCTTTCAAGGATTACGTTGTAGCCAATGTCGCCGTCTACCACTTCGAATAAGGTGGAATTAGTTACCCCTTTGGCGTTTGTGGGTAGCAGGATTTCTCCTCGGGTTGTCACACTTGTCAAGTTGAACCCAGCTAAGAGTTTTGTCATCGGGATGATGCTTCCGGTCAGCTTTGCTTGCTCCAGCACCCTCCATTGGATGATGTTGATTGAGCTTCCTGGGTTAAATAAAACACGCTTGTTGAAATCTAAAACATTAAGAAAAATTATCAGAGCGTCATTACGTGGAAGAAGAAGTCTGTCAATTTATTCCTCCGTGAAGGTGATATCATCTCCTGTGAATTCCAGGAGCCTCTTGTTGTGATTCACTGATATCTTTGTTTTATTGGCTGCTGAGAAGGTTACAACATTAATTTCATTCCCTCTGAAAATCATGTTGATAGTCAAACGAGGGGAGTCTTTGGTGCCTTCGAAGGCTCTACAAACTCCTGGCTTCGACCATATTTGTTATTGGCTCGATCGCTTAAGAATTCCCTAAGATGGCCATTTTTCAACAATGTCGCCACCTCTTCACGTAGATGCCGACAATCCCTAGTTCTATGGCCATGAGACCCATGATATTCACACCACAAGTTGGATCTCTCTGGCTGGGATTAGATCTGATTGGTTTTGGGAATCATGCTTCTTTGATATTCCGCATCACTGATACCAGCTCCACTAAGCTGATGTTGAACTTGTAATCCGATAACTTGGGATATGTGGAGTCCTAGGCCCCCGACACCTCTTTTTCTTGTAATGACCTGCTTTTTCGGCCATGGTCAGCTCTTTTATCGAGAACGAACCTATTCGAGGACTGAAGCCCTTTGCTGCTATGACCCTCAGCCCTTTCATATGGTAGGAAAGGCCTTTTGAAGACCGTCTATCTGCATCAAAGTCGCTTTTAAACTTGTCATGGTTTCTGTCTCGATCTTGTCCCTTGGTTGGTGTCGGGAACCCAAGATGGTCGTCTTCTATTTTTATTTTTGACTCGTAACGGTTATAGACATCCGCCCATGTGGTTGCTTGGAATTCGAGCAGGTTTTCCTTCAACTTTTGAGAGGCGTCGGTGCTCCATGAATTTCGGCCTTTTAGTATTGGTGGAGTGCTCGGAATCTTATCCATCCAAGCATGGAACTCTTGATCCATGCATTCGTTCATCTCCCTCATAAACTTCATAAGCTCAGTTTTGAAGGGATCATTCCCATTATTATTTCCTTATCCGCTACTGTCCCTCCGGCTTCGTCGAAACCATTCTCGCTTCTTGGGGTGTTGTTGTCAACTCTCTGAGTCGTTTGATTTGCAGGAATGCTGGGAGGAACCAGGCCTCTTTCGCTTGCATTATTAGAAGCACATGACATTGCTTGTTTTAAATCCATCATTACCCGATCCTGCCATGAGATGTGGCTCATGATGGCTTTCTGCTGCTCTCTTAAAATTTTCATTGTTTCCATGCCATGTTCCTCCTCCACGTCATCGGGAGTTGGCCCCCGCACATACCGGGGGTACTGCCCTTCACGAACTAAGGTTGCTTTGTCCCCTTTGTTATGGGTGTCGCTAATTGAGTATTCGTGCTGAGGCAAATCTTTGCGTCCCTCAACATTGTGCATGATGTTGACATCATTAGCTGCCATTTTTAATTTTCTTCTAAGGAAAAAATAACACGTTAGTAACAAACGTAAGCAATTACGCAACTGTTCCCCACAGTAGGCGCCAAACTGTTTACCCATAAAAAGTACAGTTGAATTTGTATCGTGGTTTATAGACAAGCGAACTGATTTAATCCCGAGATGATAAAGAAATAAGATTAGCAATGAAATTTAATAATTGAAATTGAAGAAGATGTCAAGCCTGGCTCCGAGCGCAATGTCTTTGAAGACAAAAAAATAAAAGCAATGTTAAAGAACAAATAACGTCATTTAATTGAGAGCAAAAATAAAACACAGCGTATGTTTGCCAAGAATTCCGTGTGTCACAACGGCTGCTGAGTCTTCTATTTATAGCTACGCCTAGGGAAACAAGATCCTATGATCAAACCCCCACCTAAATGATAATAAAGGGGTCATTGATGAATATGTAACGGCAGGCCATGAATGCAAATATTTCCTGCAAAGGTCGCTCATTTAATATGAGAGTATATTCCATCATTGAATACTATCTGATGACAAATACTCGATCTATTCCTGTTGACTATGCTTCCTTCGGGACTTACCCGACGTCAATCGCAGTTGCCATATCCGATACTGATTATTACTTGATTTGCCTTTTGCCCATCCTCGATTACACGTGTCACGCTACCATTCGACCATTTGTTATGAACCAATTTTATCCCATACAATAGCGTAGCAAGAAATTCTTTCAAGGGCATTCAAACTGAAACAAGTCAATAAATTTTTTTACCGATGAATGATATATCAAAATTTAAATTAAATTACGCAACATTTAACTAAATAATAAAAATACTTGTAATACCAATAATTTTATAAATTAAATTTGACATAAAAAATCAACAATAGAAATTTTACTATCAAAGTAAGAATAAAACCAAAGGAAAGAGAAAGTCGAGAGGGTTGCAGACTGCACAAAGCTTTTGTTGAAGAAATTTTTGTAGAGCTTAACTTTTAAATTTAATTTATTTAAGAAATAACTTTTAGTTAAAATTTACTTTTAAGATTAGTTATTTATTTTTACATAAATTTTATGTTTTAAGAATTATTTTATTAAAAAAAATTTTAAATTGAAAAAGGATCAAATAAACCACACACGGTGGTCNATATATGTATGTATGTATGTATAAAGTAGTATTTGACTTATATATACAATATAATTTTTTGGCAAATGATATTTATTTGACCACGCTATACATAATGTGGTGATGCTACTGGTTATGTATTGGATTCATCTGAATTCAGTTTAAATTTAAATTTTGTATATAAAAAAATTACTAAAAATACAATAAACAGTAGATATGAACTCTAATTCTAATAATATATTTAACAGCATATAAGTTTAAAATTCGAAGCAGCTTTTGACCACAAACACAGTTCATAAGATTAATAGCATAGATATATATAATTGATAGGACATATAGATGTACATTAAAATCCAGAGCTACTTAATCACGGACTCGTAGAAGCACACGTGGAGGCATAATCGATCATACCCTAAATTTGTATCCACACATTATTTGGTAAAAGAGAAAGTGCCAGTCTGGTGATGCCTATTCAAGAAATCCCATGATTGTCCCCACATTCTGAGCCAAGTGGTACAAAAAATCATGGGACACTAAATAAAATGGGATAAAAATTATTAGGTCTCGAGTTTAATTTTCAGTGAAGGCAAAAACGTTAGATAATTCTTTCCATCAGTCTCAGTCTTAGTAGATATAATTAGTCGATACTTGAATTAGTGAGAAATAACAAATATTTTATAAAATTATTTGTCGAGACGTACACAAGTTAATCTTGAATATAACGATTATCAACAAAAAAAAACACGGGACACTATCCTTTCCACGTCATAGAATGGAATCATCAACTTGCAAAGCTGAAAAAAATCGTTACTATATCAACTCCGTTATGTTAAATTCTCAATATCTCATTGGACTTACAATTAATAAGAATACAGAATCTTTATGAAGAGACAAAAGGCTTTGCTTATTCCACGTAACACTGTGTGCATTAGTATCCACAGCATTTAAGTTGTTTGCAAAAGAAATATGAGGTACATATTCTACCACAATTCCTTTTTGTCTCCTCCACTTGTAATACTACTAAACCATATACTATTCTCTTCTCTCTACACCAGTAACCAAATCTAACTCCAATTTCCTTGATTCTTTACACCATACTACTCAAAAATCCATCTAGTACTATATAGTATATTTTCTTGCTTAATTTCCTAAAATGTCTTGCACCAACTCTTCTCTTTGCTACTATACAACTACTATTTAAAAAGTTAACCATCACTTTGACATGAATGGGAAATGACAGATATCTCATCAAGACAAGAAGCAATAGTAGAAATACAAGTAGCAGAAGGAGAAGAGAAATTAGGATCAGAATTAGTAGTAGTAGTAGAAGAAGAAGAAGAAGAAGAAGAAGAAGAAGAAGAAGAAGAAGAAGAAGAAGAAGAAGAAGAAGAAGAAGCAAGATGTGAATGGGATTTTCATCTTTCTACTTTCATTTCTAATTCTTGCAATAATAGCCTTAATGGATCTGCTTGTGACACACTTGGTGTTTTAGAATTTGACGCTTCTGGTAATTTCTTAGCTTCTGGTGGAATAGCTAGGAAAATTAGAATTTACAACGTAAATTCTTTGTTACAAGAAGAGAGAGAAGGTGGAGGGCTTGTTTCTTTGGATCATGGCAATGCATGTAACTTTTACATGTGTACTCCAGCAAAGCTCAGTAGTCTAAAGTGGAAACCCGGATGGGGGAGTCGGGTTATAGGGTCGGGTGATTATGATGGAGTTGTTCTGGAATATGACTTAGAGAAGAAAATGCCCGTTTTCGAACGAGATGAGCATGGTGGTAGACGGATTTGGAGCATTGACTATTCCCATTCGGATCCGGTTTTGGGTGCATCCGGGTCGGACGACGGAACCATGCAAATGTGGGACCCCCGTTGCGGGGACGACGGGAAGTACTTGGCTAAGGTACAACCTAGCAAGCAATGTAATCCAGTATGTTGCGTCGAATTCAATCCGTTTAAAGGTCCAATCGTGGCCGTTGGATGCGCTGACCGGAGGGTCTACGCGTACGATGTGAGGAGAATGACGGACCCACTTTTCGTCCTCGACGGACATCAAAAGGCGGTTACTTACATTCGGTTTCTTGATGAACATACCATTGTGTCTTCAAGTGTAGACGGATGTTTAAAAATGTGGGATGCGGAGAATCAACATGTTATTCGTACCTATAAGGGCCACGATAATAGTAGGAGGTTCGTCGGGTTATCGGTGTGGAGACCCGGTGGATTAATTTGTTGTGGCTCGGAAAGTAACCAAGTCTATGTGTATGACAAGAGATGGGGTGAGCCAATATGGGTCTACGGGCGCGAACCCATGGGTGTAACGGGGTACAACCCTGGGTTCATTAGTAGCGTATGCTGGCAGCAAAAGGAAGAAAATCGATGCACACTCGTGGCCGGGGACTCAGATGGAGTTTTGCGAGTTTTTAGTGGTAAAAGAAGATGTCTGGCAGAATTATAATTGATTGAGGCTAAATCATTTACCAGAGAGAAGGTTTTGCCATAAGCATATGACAAAATGTGTACTATTATTTTTCATGCGAAGTCATCGAAACAATGGCCAACCCAAAAAGGTAACCCTTATTTTTTTTTTTTTTTTTTTTTTTTTTTTTTTTTTTTTTTTTTTTTTTTTTTTTGCACTTCTTCTCTTTCGTTTACAGGAATTAGAGGAATTGTTGGTCGTTTACATTGTCTGAAATAGGTAGAGGATTTTATAGAGAAATCTAAAGAAAAAGGGAAAGAATTTCAATGCCATTTTATTCCTTGTTCTCTCTTCAAGGTGACTGTAATAAAAGCGAATATTACTGACAGAAATTTTTATATGTATGCTTTTGCTGAATATCAGCAATGCTGAAAGTTATAACGAATATATTCTCTTATTTTTCATTAACGCAACGTGAATGTTTTGTTTGGAGAACGTACAGGCACGTAAATTAAAGACCTTAGTCTGTGTGCTATTAATTAATTAAGTTACTCCAAGATTTGTTTGATAAGAATTTTATGCGTTTCATTCCTCCATTCATCCAGTTCATGTTGGTGCAAAATGCTTAAATAATTTATAGATCAACTCGTACTTGGAAGAGTAAATTTTGTCATATGTATTTGGGACAATGAAGGGCTTTGTTTACTAAGAGAACATTTCAGAGACACGATTTGTTACTTTCATTTGATGTCTATGGGGAATTTCTCTTAGAGAAAAAGGGAAATTGGCTCATGATCTAATAATCGTACTCTAATTATTCATGTTGATCCACTTGATTATTAGATGAATATATGAAAGAAGTAATCATATCTAGTTTATGACGTCCTACAATTAAGAAAGAACTTAATTAGATTTTAGGTTTGTTTGCCTTGCTCAAATGAATCTTCCGTACCGGGAAATTTCGATGCTTTTGAAACAAAAGCTTGAAACGAAAATATACAAATCTTCGTGAATTGTGCAGCTGTAACATGTCCCTTTCTTCTTTTTTTCGAACTGTAAAATGTTCTTGAAAAGAAACAAACATTAAGAGAGAAGATGGAATTTGCAAAAGAAAAATGAAGATTTGAGTCAGCTGGGAAAACAGCTGGGAAAACAGCCTCTTTACTTTAAAGAAGGTAGGGGTAAGGTCTGTGTACTTCCTATTTTTTCCAAACCAACCTATGGAATCACAGTGAGTATGTTATTAAAGTTATGTGTATGCAGAATCTTTTACAAACGGTGTCAATATTTATATAAGAGTGAAAATTAACGTTAATATTATATTTCTATTTTCTAAACGATAATAGTCTTAATGCATTAGTTTTATGAAGTCTTAAGTTAGAAAAGGTCTTGAATTCAATTCTACAACAAAAACAACAACCTAGTGAAATCCTACTAGTGGGTCTGGGGAGGGTAGTGTGTAGGCAGACCTTACCCCTACCCCGAAGGGGTAGAGGGGCTGTTTCCGAAAGACCTTCAGCTCAAGAGGACAAAAAGACAAAAGGAGACAATATCAGTATCACAACATAAATCATAGGAAAAATAGGAATAACATGAAATCTAGAAGAAAGATGCAAAGCAAAAACGATAACTAGTAAATAGGTCCGGCACTAAAAAGTAAAATAGTAAGACACGATATTGCCACTAACTATCTTAGACAAAAACCCTACCAGACTAGTCGTCTCACAAAGGTACGAAGTAAATCAAGACTCAACTATCTCCTAACCTACAACCCTAATACTCGACCTCCACATCGATCTTCCTATCAAGTGCCATGCCCTTGGAAATCTGAAGCCTCACCATGTCCTGCCTGATCAGCTCTCCCTAATATTTCTTAGGCCGCTCTCTACCTCTTCTCGTTTCTTCCACACCAGCCACTCACACCTCCTTACCAGGAATTTGGGCTTCTCCTCTGTACATGCCCGGACCATCTGAACCTCGCTTCCCGCATCTTGTCATCAATGGGAGCCACGCGCACCTTCTCCCGAATATCATCATTTCTATTCTTATCCATTCTATTTAACTATAATTTTTAACAAAAGACTCTTCAAATATTTGCCAAAAATATGTTCTAGTTCATGTCCAAATCTCCGAACTCTTAAAGCAAAAGCAAGAGCATCACCATTATGCCAGACAAGAATACATGTCAAGTGGTATCATTTTATGTTTATTATTTGTTTCGACGTATAATTACATATGTTTAGTAAAAAATTTCGACGAAGCGGTGTGACGCGTGACACCACTTCGTTCAACATATGTCCGCCCCTGATTGTGCTTGAGCTTTAGCTTGATGAGCGAGAACAAACATGCATCTAATGTTAGACTTTTCTGTTTGAGCTCTTCGTTCTGAAGGACCGTAGATTAGAAAGTACTTTGCTAAACTATCCATTCGTCCAAAAGAGAGGGGAAGTCACGAGAATGTAGTCCACAACTTTAGCTTTGAGTCAAATGTTAGTAGTTCTTGACGTCTTGTATTGGATGTCTCCAAGTATTACAAAGTGCCGTTTAAAAGAAAGGAGGTGATGAAGAAGAGACAATCAAGAGATGTATGTTGAGGTGCGAATTGAACCCTAGTTAAAATGTACTAGAGGGGTTATTTAATTCCAGTTTTCACCAAAGTTTATAATCTAGTAATACCAACAGAACCGCTCCACGGGATCTTCATTCACACTTCTCTTATTTACCCTACATCTAGAAAAAAAATTTTGAACAAAAGCGATCTTCCTAAAGTTAAAAAAGCAGACCAGTCGACTGCAGGCTATAAAGGCCTGGGCGGCAGTATAATAGGAGAAGCGATACACCCTTCAATCTACCTTTTGACATCACAGGAATGATTCGATTCTCACATTAATGATTCCTCCTTTGTAATAGAAAAAAATGTTAAAAATAAAAACTCTTGTATGTGTTGTTAGCGAACATGGTGTTGCACTGTCACGTCTTGGTGCCTACACCAAGATTAGATAAGATTTTTCCTATGTGGAAAAGATAATGGATAAAATGATTGAAACCTTACCTAGATTCCAGACAACCACCTATATGGGTCAGTACAGTGACATGCATGTCAGAATGAGAGAGGCAGCAAACTTATCTGCACTTTTTTCTTTTCCTTTTTTCTCTTTTTCTCTTCTCATATTTCTCTTTTCCTTCCTTTTTCTTTTCAATAAAAGAAGAGCAGTGTTAAGAAGTTTCATGCATAGATTGTCCTTTTATTCCTGCAATGACAGTCGGTTCATGCCGCCGTATTTTCTTGTGACTTAGGCTTTTGTAAGGCTTAAGAAACTAATGGTATATATTTTTAGTATTTTAGGGTGTTTAACCAAAAAATATATCTTTCGGTCAAAGCCTATTTTTAGAAAAACTCGAATTACTGATAATCAACAAATTTCGTACTTTCTCAATTGTATGGAAAGAAAAGAACAAAAACAAATAAGGAAATGACTGATTGCAAAGTTAATATAGAGCAAAGCAGAAAAGTAAAGTAAATATATTCCAATATTGTATCAGATGATGCTTACAAATGAAGTTCTCTTCCCTTTTATAGGCATTTACAAATATAATGTTTCCTCCCTTTTATGGCCGAATCATTATGATCATTAATGACACTAATGATCCGTTATAATTGACAATCATAACTATTTACGAGGATTCTGTAACGGTTCCAATTCTTCTTCCTCATTAATTAGAGGTTCGTGAATCTTCCCCTTCTTACTGTCTTGATTCATTCAGTCCCTATTTACTGAATAATTTAGGCTCAAGTGACTGTATCCCTTCATCTCGTGAGTGATTTGCCCGTGCCTCTTGTATCTCTTGCATCTTCTAATGCGATATTCCAGTTGTCACCTTCTTAGTGATCCACGTATCATGCCTTGTCAGCCACACGTAATTCCACGTGTCATAATTATTTTTTACTAATACAGATAGTCCTCCCACTTGCCAAATACTCTGCAATTGAATATTTGTGAAGTGGTATGTATTTATGGCGGAAATTTTTGCCGCCGTTTCCCATGTATTATTATGTCTTCTTCAGAACCAACACATCGTATGCCACTTCCATTTAATTCATGTGCCACATGGCCTCCGTCGATTGAGTCTGTGACTTTTCAGCGATTTCTAGGGCTTTTTGTGGCTGCGTTAGTCACGAAGTGACTACTTCATTATGACGTTCCCATCATGACTTCTTTACATGACGATTGCTTCTTCTTATAAATACCCATGTGCCTTTAGTTTCGCGAAAACCTTCAATCTATAATATTCTTCGTCTCTAATTGTTCTTATTCTTCAGCACGCATCACTTTCTTGCATCCATGTCTTCACAAACCCCAATCCTCGCAAAACTATTATTATAGATGAACTACCCCCTTCAACTACTCCTGTTAGGAGTAGAAGAGGTGGTAAGCTACGTAGCTTAGGGTCTTTATCTGTCCGTGGTTCTACTTCTCAATCCAATGTTATTACCCCTGCTTCATCTAGGACTTAGGCTTCTTAAACCCATAGATCATCTGCCAGAAATAGGGAATCAAGTGAGCCCCTTCGAGAACCAACAATTGATGAAATTATTCCTGCGGAATTTTCTTTCTCCACTGATCGGGAATAAAGTAGAAACCTGGTCACTTCTATGACTTCCCATGATCGTGCTGATGTCTATCCTTCCCGGATTACTGATGGTTTGATTTCTCTTGTGCGAAGAGAATGCTACTAGAAGCCTAATTTTCCAATTTTAATTCCTCGTCCAAACCAAAGGATAACTTCGTTCCTGTCTGGTTATTCTTTTGTTTACACATGTCCTTTTACTTTAGGTTTCAGACCCCCTATTGACCCAGTTATCATAGAATTTTGTCGCTTTTTCAATGTTTGCTTAGGACATATTGGTCCTATTGTATGGAGAGCCGTTGCATGTTTATGATACCTATCTAATTTGGCCTTTTTCCCCTTCACTTCTCAACACTTGTTTCATCTATATTCCCCTAAGTTGTTCCGCTCAGGGGTTTTCACTCTCGCTGCTAGGAGCAAAAGGGTTTTGGTTAGCCCTGAAGATGATAAGGACCGTGGCTTGTACGCCCGTTTCATTGCTGCTCCCGCAAGTGGTTTAGTGGGTGAAGAGAACATGCCTTTTCCAGAGAAGTGAAATTTTACACGTAAGTTTTTTTTTCATATTTTTCTTCTTTTACGAAGGAGGAAGAAATTGATGATCTCATGGACATTTTTTTTCTCTTTTTAGCAACCATGGAAGTTTTTGATGGAATACCACACTTCCGTGCTTGGGTAGAAAAGATGTTATCGGTTGCCCCCATTGAAAGAAGATCTTGGAAATACCTTTCTCATAGGTTTGGCTGGAAAGTCAAAAGTCATGGTATATTTTCCTTTAATTTTTTTTCTTCCGTATTTACTTGGGGATTTCTAAATTTTTCCTTTG